GATTGTTTTAAATTGAGACAGCAGCTAAGAAAAGACTCAGAAAAGTCAGAAAAGACTCAAATTTAAGTAATTGTTTTAAAACTGAAAAGCCTATTCGAAAAAATTAACTTGTGAAAACATCCAGTGAGTACTGTGGTGATTTTTATGCAGAGTAGATACTGTGAACAGTATTTGACTGACAGTACATATCTTGAAGTTTAATTGTGTTTGGTTTGAAAAAGAAAATCAATCCTAACTATGTATGCCTGATAAAGAGCTAGAAAAATCTTTCAAGTATTATGACTATTTTTACTATAACCATAAACTGTTGAAAGGGTTGAATTTCCATTTACTGCTTGCAACCCTTTCCCTAAAACTCAGCCTTAAATAGCCCAAGAAATATTTATTGTATCTCCAAGTGAAACTTAAATACCTTTCCTCTTTTACAATTTCTGAATGACCCAGCAAGGGCTCTAGTAAAGCTTTACTGAACCAAGCTGCTAATAGTTATTTAATGTTGTTCTGTAGCCTGAAAGAATCTCAGTAGATTTTTCCTTTTAATCTCTTTGAATTGCAGGCTCATAAACCTCTCTGATGAGCCTGCCAGTGTTTTCTTAGATCCTGCAGTTGAGACAATGGAGCTGCAGAATCCTTTCACCTCTTGTTGTCAGACAAATCCAATAGATGGCAAAGCCAGGCAGGCTGTGCTGCTGGGGAATTAAAATTTGTTTCATGAGTTCTGGTGCTCACATTTCCCCCTGGATGTTCAGGGTGGGTCTCAGAAGTGACAGCTCTGTACACAGAGTTTTCCAGCCTGAGCAGACATCACAGAACTCAGCACTGGAACATTCCCACTCTCCTTGGGGCTGGAGAGGGAAAATGGGACACCAGCAAGGAGCCATGGTTGTAATAACAGTGATGCAGATGAAATAAGGAAGGGCACAAGAAATCTGAGAGCCATTGGGTTGGATGTTCTGCTTGCAAATTCAGCCTGGGCCATGCCTCTGTTTTTAAGTGGCTACCTCTGTTTCTGCTGCCTCAAGGTGTATTAGGCTGGGTAATGTTTTTAGTAGGAGACCTAGAAAATAAAAAAGCTTTGTTCATCTCTGGAAAATGTTCCTCCTGCTTGAACCAGACAGGCAAATAAATGAAGTGTGCAAAGCTGCCTGACAAGAGCTGGTACTGAATTATGTAGGAAGTCAAGAGTACTAACAGAAAATTTTTATTTTTTGAGATAACCAGATTTCATAGACTCACAGTCATAGAATATACTGAGTTGGAAGGGACTTAGGGGGATCACTGATGGCCGTGCACAGGATCACCCCCTGTGCCTGAGAGCATTGTCCAAACACCTCCTGAGCTCTGCCAGGCTGGTGCTGTGAGCACTGCCCTGGGGAGCTGTTCAGTGCCCAGCCACCCTCTGGGTGAGGAACCTTCTCCTGATATCCAGCCTGAACCTCCCCTGACCCAGCTCCAGGCCATTCCCTGAGTCCTGTCCCTGTCACACACAGCAGAGATCAGTGCCTGCCCCTCCACTGCCCCTGGTGAGGATGTTGAAGGCCACCATGAGGTCTGACCTCAGTCTCCTCTTCTCCAGGCTGAGCAGACCCAGTGCCCTCAGCCACTCCTCACATGCCTTCCCCTCAGGGCCTTTCACCTTCCTCGTGGCCTCCTTGGATGTTCTCTAATGGCCGCATCTCTTTTTTATATGGTGGCACCCAGAACTGCCCCAGCACTCGAGGTGAGGCCACCCCAGCTCAGAGCAGAGCAGGACAATCCCCTCCCTTGCTCTGCTGGAGATGCTGTGCCTGATCCTTCAAGATCTGAGCATCAGATGGGGAATAACAATCTCTGTTCAGCCTGGGAATTGTGAGGAGGATTAATTTTGCCCATTGGTTGGGATGGTTTTTTATTTTCAAAATCACAATTGCAGGGCTGAATTAGAAAAGCTTTGTTGAAGTTCTGTTCCCTGGGTTTTGTATTATACCATGTTTGGAACAGAAGAGAAAGCAGACTTTTCCTCAGCTGCTTCTTCATTACTTTAATGGTTGAACTCAATGATCTTAAAGGTGTTTTCCAGCATAAATGATGCTGTGTTTCTGTGAATCACAGTTACTTTCCTTGAAGTATGGTAACCTCACGAATTTGCATTGTACCAGTTCTCTTCAGGTGGCCCATCTGCCCTTTTTGTACTTTCTAGCAGCGAGGCATGACCCAGACCTCCACCACCAATCCTATAAAAGTTCTGAGAGAAATCCTCCTTCAATAATTCCAAAAAGGAAGCTCTGCGAGTTTTCTAACTCAGTTTTTTGTTACCTGTAGATGTTGTACACTTTTCATTTCATGCTCTACTCAATGTTGGAAGAGTCTGGGGGATCAAATGGCAGCAGATCTCTCAGGTACAGGCCAGAACTTGACTTTCTTTCTGTGCTCAGAGACTATCATAAAAGAGCACTTGGACTGGTCTTCCCCAACAAGTGTTTTTTTTGCAGGACTTATTTCTTCTGCAGGATTTATTTCTTTGCAGGAATCTCAGTGGTGTTCTCACACACATGCCCTTGGTGCTTACTGGAAGGTTTTTATTTGGCTTCTCCTTCTTCCTTCTCTAGGAGTTGGGGTTGCCTGAGAGATACTGAGATACTCCATTTGTGGAGATATTTAAAATCTGCCCATCCTGGTCAGCTTGCTCCATCTGTGGGTGCAGGAGGCTTTGATAGGTGATCTTGAGAGGTCCCTTTGGACCTCAACTGTCCCACAAATCTCAGAAAAGTACAGGTTAGCAGGCCTTCACCATTTCAGCTCATGGAGTTACAGCCAGGTTTTGAAAGGCATCTACATCAAAACAGAAGTTTGCCCCTCATTTCACACAAGTGCTGATTTTGGAGTCTTAATTCATTGTCACCATTTATTTCTTTCTCCTGACTACAAGAGAACCTTTTTCCAGCTTATGCAGATCTATGGAAACTAAAATTTTAGAGAACTACATTTTGAACTGATACAGTGGTCTAGGCAGGACTCTGGTAGGGACCAGATTGACTGCTAGGTATAAAAACCATTAATTTCTCAGAAAAGACTGAACATCTGTCATGTTTGCTTTACAGAAGATAACCTGACAAAAGAATGGCCACTTCATGAACAGATTTATCTGGAGGACATGTCCTGGAATGAAGGTATGAGTACCTTCCTGCTGGTTCCTAATTCTTTCTTTGTCCCTCTTAGTGTTTTCTATTTTTTCTGCATCTTGCACCATTGTTGTCTTACTTTAAGCGCTGGTTTTGCTGTATTTCCTGGGACAAAGCTGTTTTACTCTCTGAGATTACCTGGATTAGAATTTAACTTTGTTACATTTGTTTTCCACTCCATCTACATTTCTCCCCACCCTCACTTGCAGTACCACTTTTCACCCAGCTCTCCTCTTGTGTAATTGACAGTACATTCCCATTTCTCTTGTGCATCTTCTTGCCCTTCCCATGAAGGTAGAATGCCTGTGTTTCATTTTTCATTTGCCACTGTTCCTTCCCTCCTGTCTATTGCTCTGGCTTTTCTTGTTTAATTGCTTTTACAATAAATGGCTGATATTTTTGGGGTTTTTTTTTTTTTTGTTTTTTTTTTTTTTCTTTTTATTTTAAGTTGTGAGGGAAAAAATTCTACTTTTGTTTCTTCTGTTTTGGTTCCTGGGTTAGCAGCCTGTTTTGGAAGCATCCTTGATCTGCATGACTAACACCACTTAGTATTTTCTGTTAGCATCATCAGACTGTGCACCTTGTTATTACTGAAGTTTTTGTTTTTGTTTTTTTTGAAGAGACTCCATTAGCCCTGGTTGTTTAGTGTAAGAATACCTCAATCACTGAAACATTTTGAGATTATTTTTTGAGCTACAAATGGTAGCACAGATACTGATACTTACAACCCAGCAGTGGGAGGTGATTTGTTACTAAGAGAAACTTTGTGAAGAAAAGTCCAAGTAAATTCTTGATTCTTCTCCAGCACTAAAGGCGTTTTTGTTTTCTTTTTTGGCAGATGAACAACTCTACACTCTGTCCTGTCGATGTGGTGGGAATTACAGTGTCTCCAAGAGTGAAACCAAAGATGTATCTTTGGTTTGTTGTGACACATGTTCACTTGTTATCGAGATCCTGCAATGATTGTTTCAGTGAAGCACATTGAGTGTGACAAACGTTTCAAAAGACTGGACAAACAAGTGACAGCACCTGCTAAAGAAATGTACGTTAAAGAAAAAGTGGGCACTACAAGAACAAGTTCATTCAGGGTTAAAAAGGACACGTGCCCCTTTGCTCACACAGCTCTGCAGACATGAGGCTGGGGTTCTCCTTCTGCAGCTGAAGAGCTCATTGCTCCACACCTCCAGCCCAGAACAGGAGTTTGTACAACTGGAACGGATCTCCTGACCTAAAGGTTTCTTTCCCAGCAAACAACAGAGTAGCTTCTTCCAATTTCAGTCTGAAGCAGCTCTTGGGCCCTTCTTCTTAGGCTAAATCCTTTTAACAGCTCAGATGACAAAATTCAATCACGAGGCACAGATGTGAGAACGCTTTGAAGATAATGAAGAGCAAGGTTCAGCAGTGGGAAACAGGAACGTTTTCTATTTGTAAGCTAAATGTTTAAGTTCATAAAATCCTCTCAAGGGCTGGAGCCTAGAAGGAGGAGGCAAAGGCTGGCAGCTGGAAGCAGTGGCTGTCCCTGCCCTGTGACAGTGCCATCACCTGGGCAGCCTGGAGCAGGAGCACGTGTTGAGCTGAGGCTCTCCGTGTCAGAACAAATGGAGTCATCATTCCTGAGAGGAAAGCTAAGGAGGAAGCTGTGCTGTGACCCCACTGGGCAGTCAGGAAACCCCACAGCACTCCTGGGAGTGACCAGCAGGTCTGGAACCCCACTGGGGCTGTGTTCAGTGCCAGCCCTGGCACCACCTGCTGATGGCAGGCACATAATTTTTGTTGATGACACAAGTGTATCATTGCCACTTCTGCAGTTAGGTGTAATCTCAGAAAGAGATATCTTTGTCAAGTAATATTTGTGTTTATTCTAAACAAAAATAGTTCCATTGGTTTTAGTATAAAATACTATGCAAACTGTCAATAGTACTTAAGTCTTTTAATCATCAAGAAATCTGTGGCCATTGGGGCTTGCACGTAGAAATCCAAAGTCATTCAGAGGCCATATCTGTAAAATAAAGCACAGTTACAAGAGATTTAATCACAATCCAAAGTTCAGTGTTTTCATTTGTTACTGGAATTGTTTCATAAACATAATATAATGTAATAACTTTTTTTCCTCTTAATTTTCTCAATAATTTTTCTCTCTCTGTGGTAAAGAACTTTGCTCACGGATGTGCATCTCTTAGTAGGAGTAATAAATCCTGTGTATTACAGGGAATCATTCCATAGTGTGAATTTTGCAATTTATACAGGAGATATGCTTTGCTATGGAGAGCCTCATGAATTCCATTGCTTTTTTCACCCTTGGAAATAAATATGTTCCTAAAGAGTGTCTTTCCAATTCAGTGTTTTCTAGCTTGTAAAGCTCTTAATGACTTTAAAGACAAGGTGTTTTTTGGTCCATCTAGGAGAAAAAAGTATCACTCACATGGACCTCGCCATGGTGAGGTGTATTTTTATTTTATTTGTATTTTCAAGATGTGCCTTTGAACTGGAAATACCAAACCTTGGAAAAAAAGATCTGTTGGCTACAGGCAAACTTAAACAAACAGGAATGAAGGGGTAGAGTGCCTGCCACCACCCAGGCTCTGGTTGAGGCTCCTCTCAGAAGGGACAGTTATTTCCAAAAGAGCACAACTCATCACCAAGTACAGGTGTCAGAGAGTGATGCTGACCAATAAACAAATCTCTCCAGAAATTACCTGTAGAGCTGTTCATGTACTCAATGCTCCCAGGAGTACTTTGCTCTGCACAGTCATTCATTACATGTAGGATGGTCTTGGATGCAAAAAAAAGGTAATAGTAAAGCAAGGACATTCATTCACTCATTGTCCTTTGTCTCCCTTGAATGTCTCTGTCTCTTTCAAAGATGACACAAGGAGCTCAGCAGGAAGAAGAGAAAGATGATGCTGAAGAATCAATGCCCTCTGTGGCTCTAAGCCCATAAAAATTTCACAGCTCCTGCCCAAGATGAAGCAGCCTAGACAGAGAAAGGTGGGCTGCTACCTTGTTCTCAAAGCATCTGTCAGTATTTTGGTTGTCTCGCTAAATTGTCCTTAGAATCTGGTCTTCAGGTATAACAACAGCAACCTAACAGCAACTCTGAGTTCATGGAGCAGCCAGAGCACAGAAGGAGTCTTTGCTGCTCCCTGTGTGGAGTAAAAGAGTAACTGTGTCATTTAAAAGAGAAGCACAGGCAAAGGCTCAGGTATTTCTACCCCTGTGGTTTGTCCCCAGCACCAAAGGCTGTGCCAGGAGAGGCTGAGGCAGCTCAGGACAGGCCTGGCAGGAGGCAGCAGCAGCAGCAGCTCTCTCCTGGCTGGGGCTGTGCCCTCTCCAGGCTCCTGGCACGCCCTGGTAGCACTGTGCCCCATCGGGAAGGCAGAAGGAGAATCATGCTCAGGACCTCAAGTTGTGTGCATCAGGAAAAGGCTCAGACAATTCTTGTGGCTCTGGCATGTGCAGTCAGAGAGGAGCACGAGGAACAGCTGCTGACACAGAACCACAGAGGTGATGTCTTGTCTCTGTGCTGATCAGCCGGTGCGCTATTTTAAGCTCCTCACAAAAGTACAGATACAAGCCAACAACAGAAAGGTACTTGTGATCTTGGTTAGCAGCAAAGCTGCAGAATTCAAAGCTGTCCAGAGGGCCTGTGCTGGCTGCAGGCTGGGTGTCAAGTCTTTGTTTGGCCCTGAAGGCAAGCAGAAGGAAAGAAAAATATCCCGTATAACAAATCGAAGCTGATCTCAGTAAAGGCCTGGAGAAGGAAGTTTTTTGGTCTGTTCACTCCAGTACAAATCACACCTACTGCAACTTGACTTTCTTTCAGTGAAAGTAATCAAATTAGCTTTAAATGTTGCTTTGACAGCGTAGTTTGAAATTTGTCACAGTAATCTTAGTGGTAGAGTTAGAATGAAAATGATGTTTTACCTAGTCTGCATGCAGGGAGAACCTGAGAAACAATACTGGTGGTTGGAAAGAGATGGAAAGCCCTCCTCTGTGAAACAAAGACATGCCACTCTCTTTTAAAGTTCTGACAGAAGTTGACTGTGACTTGCTCATTCAGACTGGCTCTTCCAATTAGCAGCTCTTTGCCCTCTCTGCTTTGGCCCACATAGATAGATTTGATCTGATGGACAGGGCATAAATGGGGCTAACTAGCTCTTTTGAAGATACACCACAGGTCTAGTTCTGACATGCAGCCTAAGCCCAGGGATGCACAGGATATCCTACCTAGGACAGGATGAAGCACGAGTTCTGTCTAAGTGGGATTCCCAGTGCTTTTCCTGAATTTGCAGCTGCTTTGATTTCAGCAGCCCTTTATGGCATGACCTTGTGTTTGGAGTGGCAGGACAAGAATCAGGTGTTGGTATTTCTGTAAGGGTTAAAAACTGCTGCACCAACACTGACTGAGAACCCTCGGTCTGAACTTCAGACAAACATTCATGTTTTGCCAAGAATAGATTGGCTAAACAAATTCAGCCAGCTAGGCTGGCTAAGTTCACTCTCTTCTCTTGAAATCCATGACTTCCAAATTATATTTGGGGTTTTTTTACAAAAAAAAGTAATTTAGCACTGAAAGGCACTGTTACACCTGCTTCTCCAAAATCCACTGTAAAACAAAGCCACAAAAACTTCCATTCTGAAGGCAGTAAAATCTGCTGGATGGAAGAGAAGCCAAAGCTGCAGCAGGCTGCATTAAAAGCACTCGGAGGTTTCCTGGCCAGTGGCCAGTGGCCAGCCAGCCCTGTGCAGTCTGTACCTGCTGCCCTGCACTGCAGTGTACAGCAGCAACACACAGGAGCAACATCACTGTGTGCTCATGTGAGGTATCATAAAGAACCACACTAGAAACATGAATTCGGAGAACAAGTTAATTTTTGTTTTTATTAGGCACCATTTACTTAAATCTCACAAAAACTTGAGTAATCACTACTCTATGCCACTGTCATTAAACAACTGCTGTGGAATCTGGTTAAATTATTTTGATTAAGTATCAAGTGATTGCATATTATTTTTTTTAACAGACAATGTTCTGGAGTCCCTAAAGTAGTGTTTCAATATGAACTATCTGTGTGTGAGTTCCACTCATTGTACAGAGTTTACTTAGGGTTCAGTCCTGTCAGTCACTTCATTAAGTCTTTCAAACACCTTCCTTGTCAGGACACAAGCTGGACACAAAATGTATTGCTGTGGAGAGATACTGTGACTAGTTCTGGCTGTGCATACACACAGGTTCTTCATATATCCAGTATTTCCTAACATTAAAGCAGTAAACAGCAGCAGTTTTTATACCTGTGCATCAGCTAGGAGAAATGTTTTTTTCAGTTCCATTCTCATTAGAGGAGTGTCAGCAGATTATCATCCTTTGTATCTTAGCAGTCAATAATTCAAGCTAAAACTTGGGTCATAAAAATAACCCTGTTGGGAACCAGTGTTTTCCCCTCTGGTGTCCAGGGCAAGCAGACAGCAGGAGAAGGGGCAGAGCCCTGAGTAAACACCAGGGAAGAGCTCGGAGCAAATGTGAGCCAGGAGGAACAGAGGTCACCCAAAATTTGGGTGAGGCTGAGGGAGGCCTGTTGTCTGAGGTTTAGAAAGAAATTACTGCTTGTGCTGAAAGCTGCAAGGGTTTGGGGTTTTTTTTAAGTCCCAAATTGTGTTCATAAATACTGTAAATTAAGGATATAAGGTTTTGTTAAATTGGAAAGATCTAATCTTCCCTGTGCAACACAGGTGTGCTAAATTATGGGTTTGTGGATGTCTTGAAGCACGTGGAGAAAACCTTTTTTATTGTTCTGGATGCACAACTTTAAATCTAGTTTTCTTAAAGCAGATGCATAAGTGTGTAATACACACCCCTATATTTCTTAGATTAAACTTTTTATGGAGAGGAAATTGTGTTATGTTTCTTCTTTTTGGTAAAAGAGTAAATTAGTAATGCAGATAATATTAAAAAAAAGTTCAGTGTGAAATGAAGTTTTAGAATTGTTGAAGCAAAAGGAGAAGAAAGCGTGATCGTTTATACAGTACAATATTCTTTCAAAGCATTTTTTAGTTTAAAAAGCAGCAAGACCAGGCTACATGTGCAAAGTATGTGTGCAAGTCCTGGAGAGAGAATCTTTTCCTTCATTTTGTTCTTTGGACCACAGAGCTACAACAGTGAAAAATCATTTTGCAGAGAGAATCAAAGTAAGGATGAAATGTACATCTGTGCAGCAGGGTGTATGTGTGTACATTTGTGGTTTTATCATGTTTGGATTTGCTTGCAAAACAATTCATTCCATTTTCATAGCAGTGAAAACTGCTCAGTGCTGCTCCAAAGTCCTCCCTCCAAAAACCCCGTCACTATTGATTTATCTTTTTACAGCAGGTGGTGGAGTGTTCATGCTTTCCTTTACATTTGCTTTGGCCAGGCAGCTGGGGAGACAAATTTCAGTACCTAACACCCACTCATTAAAAATGTATTAATGCAACTATTTTTAGATAGCAGAAATTCACATACCTTAAGACAAATGCGTCCTCTTATCAGCCCGTAAGGAACAGGTCCGTAGCACCTGGAATCTGTAGAATTCCTGAGATTATCACCTTCTAACCACACGTGTCCTTTAGGCACCTATAAGCAAGATTGAAATGTAAAAAGAAACCAGAACAGAATGGTGTTAAGCGCAGTCTGCCTTACAGTGTTTTTCCTGATTTCTGTGCTCTGTATTTCATGACTGTGTAATGAACTAAATTTTATTGAGTCTAGTAAGACACACTGGCAGATTTAGAGGGATGAGAAGGATTGCTCCAAAGTATCTGTTCTATCATGTGCTCAAAAACCAATGGTTTGCAACAAAAAACCCAAAATGAAGATGCAAGAGGTTAGACCAATGTGACAGGGTCATTAATTTAATAGACTTCAAAAGAGGTCATTAGGATGTTGACTGAAAATCTGCCCTCCTGTCGCAGTAACAGCATGAACAGGGCAGCCACACACTCATCAACATCCTGGGGCCAGCACCAAGGCTAGACCTGTTAGTAGATTCATGATGAACTAACTGGTAATTGATTGTGACATCAATTACGAATAATCTCATCATTTTATCGGAGTAGGCTTGTCAAAGTTCTAATTAAGATCACAGTTCATTCTATGTGCAGGCAGAATCCACAACACATTATATTGCAATAATGATGATCACAAAACAGCAAATCCCTTTTTATAATTTGAAAATTAATGATGGTGACCTTATACTATATGACAAAGACCTTTCATTGCCCATATATATTATGCATTAACTATATTACATACCACAGATTCATGGCATTCACTGGCTGACTCAATGACAAAATGAGAAATAGCAACATAGCTGTAATAGTTACCTACATGAGAGTATGAAGCTTTCATATGTGAAAAAGTTGCTCCTGCAAGTCTTAAACTAAGATATCTACTTGGAACATACACAATACTATTTTGTAATGTTTTCTTAAAAATTTTTCAGATACAAATAACCTCTTTAAAGTTACCAAATAATAATGATGTTTCTAATTGGGTCTTGTTTCTAAAATTTTAAACCAGGCTGAAAATTTAAATGAAGCAACATACTCTCAATCTAGAGAATATTTAATATGGACTTTAAACTAACATACATTTTTCCAAAACCAAGTATGGACTTAAACATTACTATGAAGTATCTACTTGAAATAATACTACAACCACAATTCAGAGGAAAAACATACGGAAACTAACTAAATAAACAATTTCAAGTGAAACTCAAACTAAGAGTAGCATGAATGTTTTAGAATTGAGCCATGCAGTCTCTAAACAAAATAGTCTGCATAAGAGGGAGTTCATGGGTAACAGATGAAACAAAGTGAAACACCACTCTAGAGTAAAGGCTGGCTGTAAACCAGTAAGAACAAATGCAGGTCCCCCACTGGAGGAAGTTGCAGGTGGTACTTGTAGGTGTCTGGCCAGGTAACACTCCCTGGGAACCTGGGCTTTAACGTGAGGCTCTTGCTTAGCCATGCTGCCACGTGCCTGTCACCAGACCAGCATCCCAGGCTGGCACTCTGCTGCCACAGCCCCTCTGCTGAGCCGTGGCAAATGTGCCACTGTGGATTGAGACACAACAGGTCACTTGGGCAGAATGAAACACACCGCAGAAAGCATCTGTGAGCCTGTCCATCCCTCCCAAGCAGCCCTGTATTGCTGTGGCACCAGGTAAGGTGCTGTGGGTGTGTCAGAGGGCACAAAGCCTGCCCTCAGCATTTCAGTACGGGACCAGCAATGTCTAAGCCCTTTTGAAACCCACTGGTACCATCTCCTGCCACAGGTATAAAGGACTGCCACCTCCTTTGTCTTTAACTGATCCACTGTTTCAGCCAAGCTCCTCTACTGCTTGTTCTCCTAGTCCTTCCAGACAGGAATTCCCTATTCAGCTTGTCTGTCACCTTTGTTGTTTGGAAGGCTGATCAGATTCCTGGCACATGCACCAAAGGGTTTCCTCTGGGAAGGCCAGCTGGTTCCAGCTAGATGACTTTGGCCCTTCTCCTACCAAAGCAGCTTTGCAAACAAAAAAAACCAACCAGAAGTCAATTTATACATTTTAAAAGCTTCTATCTGGAGTCAAACGACCTGTGTAGAATATGCATCTTGTGTTTTTGATAGGTCTCTGTTTGAGCATGTGCTGTCACTGCTGTTCTCCTCAGAGATTCCATGGAGCACAGCCTGTTTAGGATGTCCAGCAGGCTAGTTGGATGTTCGTGGTCACTTAGTTCAGTGGACCCACCCAAAGCACTCTCTGTGTCCACTCACACATGAGTTTTTTTCTTTGTGGAAGTAACAGTACAAGGCAGCACCTGACCTTGCTAGCGCAAACTCCCCAGTCCAGCACCTACTGGAATAACGAGTCAGACACCAAACTGCTGTCCCTGTGACAGACTCCCTCAGCAAACACACAAACAGGACAAGCTGGAATCACTAAGATATGGAAAGCAAAGCCACGCTAACATTTCATGTTGCTGCAAAAGCATCACTTCTTGCAATGTGCTCCTGTTTGCCTGCCAGCTCCCCTTGTGTTGTTCTGGTTCCTCTGCTTTCTCACTTCTCCCAATTCACAGGCAGAATGTGATGCTCATCTTTTACTGTGTAAAATAAAGAACCACTCGTGACTCAAGTATATCCAAAAGCTTTCTAGAACACTTCCCATATTTCCACCAAGCTCCAAAATGACAAAAAATAAAATAAATTGCTTTTGCCTGCAATAGCATAAAACTGCTTCCAGTACTAGGAATAATTATTTGTCTAGACAAGATGTTCACAGTTTGCATTCCAGGCAGAACATTTGCAGTAAAGCGTCCTCCTACATCCTGAAATTCACCACTTAAAGTAATTTTTGCAGCTCTCCCTGGAAGGTATGACTGGGCCCTACACTTCTGAATTTAGCATTAGGAGTACTGTCACAATATGTGATTCATCTAGGGATAATGCACCTTTGTAGAGTGTCTGTCCATCATCTAGGCACTTCAATACAACCTAGAATGAAGTCAAGCAATAAAAATCACAAGAATTACAGGAAAATGTAAAACCAAATACCAGTGACAGGCTATAATCATTAATTTTAAAAAATAAATTACAAAAGTAGTATAAACCCCTTTGAAATAAAGACCAGTGCCAGAATCCTCCTCTGTGCACCCAGCCATGTATATACCACACCACTGATCTCAGTGGGATTAATCACAGGGAATAGTTCACTTGGAGTATCAGAGGCCAGGACCCAATCTGAAACACTGCAAAGCTCTGCAAGCACACTAGTTGGGAATAATATTCACCAAAGAAAAAGAATTTTTAGTATTTTTAGTAAGAATGTATTTTTAGTAAGAATGTATTAATTGCACAGCAATGGGCTGCTGCTGCCAAAAACCCCAAGGCATCAGGAAAGCCACTTGTGTGACAGCTCACAGGGTCGCATTTTGGAATCTACAGGCAGTGGACCTCTTAGAGAAAGTTAACTGCACCCAAGAAGTGCCACTGAAATCACAGTTCCCTCTACACAGAGGGCCAGTGACTGCAAACCCACACTGATGAGGGGTAAAAGCATGCCCTGGGCTGGGCAGCATCTCTGATCTCCCTGCACACAGGCCAGAACTAAAGATGGGAAAGTCTCACACGCCCAGCAGCTGAATTTTCACAGAACATACAATAGTGGGAGTGGGACTCTGCAGAACCAGCAACTCCTGAGCAGTGCAGGCTGCTGTGAAATGCTGCCTCTGACTGTCTGCAGGCACCTCCCTCTGCCTCGGCAGCCCCTGTGGCCCTGCTCTGTGCAGATTATCCGAGGATTTACCTCCCTTGTTCTCAGGCAGAACCGGTTATCTGCGGTGCTGCTTCAAAGTGTGACAATGAAAGACACCATCAGACACAACCCTGCTCCCTCTGCTCTCTCTCCAAGCTCTAGATCAGAAGAACAAGACTATCCTTGGGAACAACTGAGCTGGAAGCAAAAGTTCATTCTCTTTCACCCCAAATAAACATCTTCCACTGCATCAAACTGGCAAAATTTGCAGAGCTGTTGGAGTTTACGCAGTGGCAGAACTGAAGTACAGGGCAGGCATTTGATGCATACTCACCAGCATAAAATATTCATTTACTTAAAGGGGGGGAATCATCAAATAATTATATTATTTTGGTCTCTTTGCATGATGCCAAACTTTTTTAGTTGATTATTCAATTATCTTCAAACCCAAGAGATAAGAACCCTGTGCTGCATTAACTAAAATATTAGGAAACTCATGTATTGCAAATAAAGCCAACAGAAGTAAATTATCTGCCTCAAAAATACCCCCAAACCCAGGTAACTGAAAACAGGCTTCTGTGGTTTGGGGTTTTTGTTTCGAGAGAGCTTTTGCTAGTGATTTTAGGGCACTTACAAACATGAATGTCTTGCAATCTCCAAAAACATCAGCACATACAATCAGCTGGGAGTAGACGTTTGAACTTTTGTAAGGTCACAGGTATTCACATCACCTCCAGCAATATCAAAGTTTCCAACTTAAGAAGAACTTTAAATAATTCCCATCTTTTCAGTTCAGAGGCTTCCTTCTTGAGCTATGATAAGAACTAATCTCAGTGCTGGACAAAAGAATAAAGTCTGCAAGTTCTCATCTATCCCTACTAAGGTCTATTTAAGTGCCTCCCACTTTGGTACAAGCAACAAATGTAATTGCTTCATGGCCTGCGGGTGTTCATTTAACAAAAGGAGCTTTTGTGAATAAACCACAGGTGTTACCTTTCTTGATTAAAGTGAAATATGATGAAAGATTCTACAATATCAAATGACAAATGTACTAAATACTGATTAAATTGCCTTATTTAAGTAAATTGCATCTAGTTAGGATAAAATATACACCATAGAAATGCAGGAGTTTGTTTTATCACTCTGTACTTAAAGTCTCACATAACTACTCCTTAATCCTTTATTTATTAATTCAGAACCAAGACTGAGTAATGCTTAACAAATACTTTTTTTAATGATCAGTTGCTCCAGGCACTGTTTCTGTAGGTTTATCATAAATGTTGTTCATATTAAGGCTGTCATCTGTACAAAACCCAACCACATTAATTAGCTCAAT